GTTGCTTCTATCACCGTATCGTCTTCAACACACTGAATAACCTTAAACTTTGATACAAAGGTTTTTCTCTGTGGACATGCACATAAAATGCCTTTTTTCGTGGCTGGAATGGTTTTTACACGTAGACCATTGTTGAAAAATAAACAGTATCTAATGAGATGTGACGTCCTAGCATCCAGAACTCACCCATGTGTTAGTCACGTGATCTTTGTGACGTCATGCTTCCTTGGTAGGAAAGCATGCTGTCTCTTTAGAAACTATAAACTTTTCAACACGATTAACATTAAATCATATTTCCTCATACTGTGTGTTTAAAACTTAAAACTTATCGATAGTAAGCCACTATGCAAAAGTACACTGCTTGCTTATGCTTTATGTGACAATTAAAACTATATGTACTGTATATAAATGTGTCTAAAGTGAAGGAAATTGGTTAATAATAGTATATTATGCTACAATTTGTGACAATTAGTTGCTGTATAATTCAATATAATATAATATCCCTTCTTGTCCCTACTAGTGCTAATAGTTTTAGTCCGTAAGAGTCTCAGACTCACTATACACAGACTAAGATAAGTCACACTCTTGTCTACTGCAGTGCTGCATACTCCAGGCTTCCGAACACAGATTTTTAAAATTAAAATCTGGAGTTAAAATACACTAAGATGCTCAATTCCATATCTATCGGTATCACATACTCTTAACAAATGGAGAAAAGTTGGCATTTAGATTGGAATTACTATATTCTCCCCTCTGTAACTCTAATCTTTTGAATAACTGATTCTACTGTCACTGACAGGAAGTTATAACAATCATCTTAGCTCTGAAAAATGATCTCAGCTTTAAAATTAGTAAAACCCACACTTTGCTTATAACCTTTATGATTCTGGAATGTTGGTGAAAAGTTGCACCATGACTTATCAAGGTCCAAGCTCTAAAACCGTACATCTTAACCATCACAATTATTACCTATATTTGTCCAATGTTCTCATTGTGACCAGAATCACAGGTTATTAATTACACTCTGATAGCTTGCTACAAATCTCTGCTCTCAAAAACACACTACTTTGATATGTAATCAGACAAAACCATCCTGACCAAACAATGGATTCCTCAGCAAGAGGTTATGGTCTAATCTGGGCATTACCATCAGAGTCACGGAACTTCATTCTCATTGATGGGAATTCATTTCAATCGACTTCTACAGTTTCGCAATCCTTGTCTTAGCATATCAAGTTGACCTTCAGTTAACAACACCTTAACACCTGATATTATAAAGAGTGCAGTCCATTTATAAATAAAAATTTACACCTCTGTAACAGAATTGGAGCCCTCTATGCTGACTTAAAATGTACAAATCATCAGTGTTTATAATATAAGTTCACCTCATTAAAAACTTTCTGGTCAAAGTCTGGTGCAAGCATGTATGGAATTCTTCAGCTTCTGTAAAGTGGTCATACTCTTCCACCAATGGTCACTTGTGGACACTGATGTCCTTCGGCCACCTGCGGTCATCTATACTGATCAATGTCCATGGGTGGTCACCAATGTCCATCTATGGTCACCTATGTCCACCTCATTAATAAAACTCGGAGTCGGAGCTCTGTACAGACCCGGAGAGTTCCCGTGTGTCCTGCAGATTACGACCCACTGAGCCCTGGTCACTGGTGTCCAGATTCCTCGAGCCACCTGGAATGAAATTTTTTAAATTAAATTATAACAAAATGTTTCTCACTGCATCACAATCTTAGAAATGAATTTGTCTTCTCTCTCTCTCTCTCTCACACACACACACACATACACACACACCTTAATTGTCAGAGACGGTGAAGAATTCAATTCTTCCGAAGGGATCAAACAAGTTTTACCCTCTACATAAGACCTTGGACACCATCACATAGTTTTGATCACAACGAAACTACTCATGAACAATTTAGTTTCTTTAAACAAGATTTATTTTTAAAAACAGAAGCTTGATTGATCTCAATTAAAGCATGCTTAGTCACCTGGGGAGCTGGTAATGTCCAGACGTCCTGACCTCATGGTGGTTCCAGGGGTGAAAGGTAACATCTGAGCCAAGATGATGGCCAGGCAGTCTGCTACTTGTGGATTGGGGGCACAAGACAGGGCTGGGGTGTAGCCTAAATTAATGAAATATCATAATAATATCTTTTTTCAGTAAAATAATCAAGTACAATTTCTGGGTACTTCTTACAATCTAACCCTTAACATTCTCACTGCATAGTAATCGCATTATCCTTTACAATTCTCAGTATATCAACCACTACAATCCCTAATTCTCTCTAGTAAATCTAACAAAACTACCCCTTACTGTTCTCACAGAGCAGTAAGACTGCTCCCCCTTACCGTTCTCATCCACAGCAAGCACACTGGCACCTTTACTGATCAGCGTCTGTACCACCGGCACCATACCATGGCGGCCAGCTATGTGGAGACACCTGGAAGACGACAGGGTTTTATATCTAATATTTGGTATCGAAGTGATCTCTTTAAGACAAGGAAGGTAGCGCATGTGCGTGTGTGTATGCATGTGAATGCGGCTCAGTTTCTATTTGCTTTAACAGAACCATGTTACATTTTTAAATATATGTAAATCTTAAAATACACCAAATTGATGATCAAATCATTCATCTATTGGCCGACTTCTCACATACAGATAACAAAAAATTATCAAATAAATAATAAAAATGTCTACAGTAAGAAATGGCAAGATATGGCCAAGACAAAAAAATATTCTGGACTCACGTTTTCTGTTCATTATTGGCAAAGTTGAGGACATCGTCAGAATCATCCAACTTATCCAGAATTAGCAGGGCATCTGGTGTATGGCGCTGGAACAGACACAGGTCAAGGTCACAGTGAGGTCAAGGTCACAATGCGGTTCGACCTCACACTTAATTCAAAATTTCTCTTTTGAAAGTTTGTTTCAAATTGACTTGCCCAAATTCAATGGCCGTTGTTTGGTTTTAAAGCTGCTGTTTGGTACCAGTTGCTTTGTATGTTCCACTAACTTAGTAAATGCATAAAGCAGTTTTTGTACTTGTTTAATTACAAAATATTTAATATTTCACATTTAACTTGGTAAAATCACTTTTGCAGTCCACATGTCAATCAAATATCTATCTAACCTTCTATGTCACATTAATTTCTATGTACACTTTCTATGTACACTATATATATCTATATCTATATGTTTCTATATATATATATATATATATATATATATATATATATGTCTAATGTTCATAGCAAGCTGTTTAAAAAAAAACCTAACTCACGTGTATACAGGCATGGTGGAGGGCAGTGTTTTTGTCATCATCTACCAAAGTAACATCAGCTCGGTTATCTAGCAGCATCTCTGAAAGATAAATATACACTGGTTGTGTGACAATCATGACCAGACATTTTTGTAGCAAATAAATTTCCCCTAAATAAAATGATGTGATATTTCTTTAGGCTTCAGGTCATAATCTCTCAAGGTGCCTCAAACTTTTGAGTTGAATCAGAAACGGTGAAACTAACACTGTAATCCTGCTCATATAACTTCACATCTTATAATCATATTTGAAATTTTCTTCTCTTGTGCTTTAATGTTTAATATGACTACTGCAGACATGAGCCTAGGTTTCAAAAGAAAACCTCTGAACAGTTATCCCCCCCCCCCCCATTTTATTGGAGATCTTGGCAAATCTCACGAAGCATCAGAATTGAATTAAAAAATGCGGGATTCCGCGTTTTCACAGAAAAAGCTCATTTCTGCTAGTGGAAATTTAGAAACATAACTTGAAACCTTTTTGAAAAATCAGTTTTGACCCGTGACCTCCAGAATTGTCTACTGCAACTCACCAACTACAGAGCTCTGGCCGTTCATAGCGGCAAACATGAGGGGTGTCCGACCCAGGGCGTCCATTTTGTTAATATCGCTGCCTGCAGCCAATAACATCTGTACGCAGTCGCAATGGTCACCAAAGGCACCTGCATGTAGCGCAGTCCTTAGGAAACAGGAAGAGTTTATTTTGGTTTCTATTCATATTCATAAATTCAAAATACTGCATGAAAAAACTTTTTGTGGAGGTTTAGATATTTAAAGTGGATATGCCACACATAAGCAAAAAATCCTCTGAACATATCATGGGACCAAATACCTAACCCTGATGGATCTCAGAAACCATCAGAATTGAATTAAAAAGCGTGGAATTTTGCTTTTCCACAGAAAAAGCTCATGTCCAACATTCCAACAGAGGAAAAAAAGAGAAGTCTTACTACACTTTAGATAACCTGAATCCCTTGCATTTTCATTTAATGTGAAATTGATGTTTTTAAGCATGGGAAATGCTTATGTTTATATGGGATTTATCACATACATAAGTCATAAATACTGGTTGAATAGACAAACAAATTAATTAAGAAATGTGAAAATCATACTTCTGAGAAAAGAGAGTAAAATGCATTAAAAACACAAGCACTGGCTATCTTGACACTTTGAAGATAAAATTATACAAAAGTCCGTTGTTTTCCGCCTACCTTCCTTTGCCATCTTGTTTACCAATGACGGCCTCTCCCAATGTCTCCAGTAATAGTTCTGTACAAGTGTCGTGACCATTACCTCTGGAGATAATAATAATAATAATAATAATAATAATAATAATAATAATAATAATAATATAGTAATACACACACTAGAATATTGTGAATTTTAGTTAATAAGATAAATATCTGACATAAGAAAATTCCAAAAAGTTGAATCAAAAACTCTTTTCATCAACAGACATGAGTAAAAGGTCTTTAAAATTTTCTGAACATTTACCATGGGACCAAACATATTCAGATGAGGTCCCTTAAAGACTGCAAGAAAAAATTCAGAATTCTTTTATTCTACATAAAAGCTCTGTGTACTCCATTACTTACACTACACAAACAAACAAATACACACATATGCTCACATGCACACCCACACACATTTCTAACTTGCACAGTGCACGTGTACACAGACACACACACACACACACAGTCAAACATACACATACATACACACACAACTGCAGTACTTACACAGCACAGTGCAGAGGTGTATACTGGTTGCCATTGAATTCTTTCAGTTGTTTCAGCTCCATAAGTAGTTCTACACAACTGTCATGACCTGGAACAAATACCATACAGTGAAAAACAATGGTGGCAAAATGTGTATAAATTGAAATCAAGTGCATTTTAAGATTTAAATTTTTATGATATGATATGATTTATACATCTCCACTTCATTGATGAAAAAATATGAAAATGACATTTAACTTTCACTAGCTTAATGGCGGTTTTTAACTCTCACTTAATAAACACATAACTTATTACTTTCCTTACCATTATTATGACAGGCCCAATACTGTATTTTTACTCACCATTATAACAGGCCCAATACTGTATTTTTACTCACCTTTACAACAGCCCCAGTGCTCTATTTTTAATCAGGATTATAATGGGTCCAATGCAGTATTTTACTCACCATTATAACAGGCCCAATGCAGTATTTTACTCACCATTATAACAGGCCCAATGCAGTGGACTGTAGCCTTTATTATCCAGTAAATTCTCAGGAGGGGAGCCAGACTGAAATATGGATCAACCTTTTATTCTATAGATCTTTTTTTCCCCTTCCACTCAGAATTACAGTACCTTTTCACTATAAATTACATTTGGGCATTTTGATTATTAATAAGCAAAAGAGCAAAAGAAATATTTTCTGGAACAACTGAAAGATTTTTGATGTTTAACTCACCTAAGTTTATCACATATAAAATTGTTCATTTTGAGTCAATCTAGTTATGAAGAAACAGTACTGTGAATTTTACTTATAATGATAATAATTGATATTAACATGACCAAAACTAGTTTTAAGAACACAATTTTCCTAACAGTTGTAAGAAAATAATATATTTGCAATATAATGATCTAACTATGATTTTGTGCTGTGATAATTTCATGAAATATAATCGTGTTATGTTTCAATTATACATAATGATATCATCACTATCAGGTTTTAAGTTGAACCTGATGTAAACAGGCCCTGGCGTGGGACACACCTCCATCAGAGCTCCCAGCATTCCCACATGACCACAAGCTGCCGCTAGGTGGAGTGGTGTGCGTCCATGACAGTCCCGGCTGTTCACCTCAGCACCGTGATGTAACAGAGCATCTGCACACTCCTCGTGACCTGAAGCCGCCTGCAGGGTATTAAATAAAGAATAAAGTAAAATAAAATAAATGAATGAAAAAAAAACACACACACAAATATGCATGCATGCACGCACGCACGCACGCACGCACACACACAACAACAACAACAAAGTAAAGAACTAGCAAAACCAGACAGATTCCAAAAGCACCGAGTCCCTTTTTTACCTGATGTTCATAACAATGCATATGCATCTTTCTCTTCTTGTTTTCCTAGCTGTTTCTTTCAAGCAATTTTAAATAATCAAGTATTAATTAGACATAGTTGACAGAAAATGAAAATTTCAGAAATGGTATGATAATTAAACTTTTAAAGTCCACGTCTTCCTCACCCCTCTGTGTAGAGCCGTCCTTCCAAAGATATCAGTGCTGTGGATGTTAGCACCCTGACTGAGCAGGAGTAGAACACAGTCTACGTGACCATTAGATACAGCCACCATCAGTGGGGTCCTAGGGGAGATATGGTTAGGAAAATAAATATTATATCACCATATTTATACATTTTTCACTTATTTACAATACTGTAGCTGCATTAAAAATAAATAAATAAATAAACAAAAAAAACTTTATATTTCTGTCCAGTTTTCAAACTTCATCTCTTTTCCATTTTCAGTTGGACTTTTTTTTTTATAATATTTGAGTTAGACTTCTGAATATTTCTGACACAATTTTAAGACAATTTTTCAACATTTTTGAGTTATACTTTTTAACACTTTTAATTAATACTTTTCAAAAACATTTTTAAGTCAGACTTTGATGACCATTCAAGTACCAAAGCACCGAGGCTGGGGATATTGTGCAGACATATCACAAATTACCATACCTTTCTTGTTCATCTGTGCAGTCCACTATTTCCTTGTGATCTGCATTCTGGAGTAAAGTTCTCAAACACTCAGTGTGACCATTGTAAGCTGGAAGCAAAGAACACATTCATAAAATAAATAATTACCAGTATATTACACTTTTAATGATCTAGTTCTTAAAATATATCTATTTAAAATATATATCACCCACACAATTCCAAAAATGCTGTTTTGTAATTTTGAATGTTTTAATTGTCCACCAATCCGTCTGCTATTAGTTTTGGACCAAAAGTAAAAAAATTATGAATGTATCATTTCACTCTCTTGTCTCCTTGCATGGCACATGCCTTCATATATTTTCTTCTCTACATCTCCTCACAGCTATAAGGGTTCACACCCATATGTTTCAAGGACAATAGTTATGGGCTCTACATCTACCAGTGGCAGGGGCTGAAGTTTTCAGTTTTCACTTTTCATCCAAAAGAGTGCATACCCACCTGCGGCAAATATAAGACCGTTATGGGATTATCGCTGACAGTCATCACAACCTATGGGGTTTACACTTACCAGCAGCATGGACTGGGGTTCTCTTACTCTCATCATCCTGCACCATGATGTTGGCACCTTGTAAAATCAGAATCTCGCAGCATTCGGCATGACCTTTGAAAGCAGCAAGGTCAAGGGGAGTGCGACCTGGAATGATTTCAGTATGTAATATCATGTACATCGACTCAGTTTGCATTATATACCACAATAAGTGGTAAAAAAAATGCCTTGTTTGGACATTTTACTGTTTGTGCTACCTTTCTGGACTTTTGTTTGTGATGGAAGAAAATCACTTAAAAATAGGCTAAAAAGAGGGGCTGAAGTTATATTATCTGCTGCAGAAATGTCAAATACAAAAAGTTTAAGTTGTTGTAGCAAAGTTACTTCATATGTGAACACTACCTTTTTTCTCCTTGACATCCAAGTTCATGAAGTTATTGACCAAAACTGCTAGAGCTTCATCGTGACCATTAAAAGCCTAAAAAAGACATAATCCTATTATCAATTCTATCAAAGAGCATGGTATTAAAATCTTATCATTTTAACTTAATAATAATAATAATAATAATAATAATAATAATAATATATAACAAAGTGAAATCTGTAGACTTAGAACTGGTTTATGGCCACTGGCTGGATATTTTTAGATTTTGTCAAAGAAATCAGTGTAAAATCAATACATCAAATAAGTTTGTCATAATTTTCTACTCATTTTCATCATCAACTTCAGTCACTTTTTTGTGAAATTCTCACAAAATAAGAAAGGGGAAAGATGAGTTAACTTACAGCTAAATGCAGTGGTGTGTTGGGAGGCAGGGTGGCAGTTCTGTTCAAAGATTCCGAGGCAGTAGCATCCAATAGCTGGAACATATCATTAACATGTCATTATCATATCATTAACAAATCATAAACATATTTAAACTTTGCACCCTGTGTATCAAAGTCCAAGACTATTTGAGATAATATGCTGAAACTAAATAAATGTTAATGTTTTTTCATCTTTTTATTGAATGAAGATTGGCTTAATAAAAAATAACAATAATAATAAGTAAAGGATCAGTTTTCAAACATTTAAATACAGTTGAGAGTATGCACAAACTGAATGTTACTACAAAGCCATTAGTGTGTTATGTAAGAGAGAGAGAGAGAGAGAGAAAGAGAGAAATTCACCATCTCCAGCGCCAGTTTGTTTCCGTTCACTGCAGCATAATGCACAGCGGTGTAGCCATCAGCATCAGTGATGTTAGCCTTGGCGCCACTCCTCAACAAGTGTTCCACAACTCTGGGGGAGAAGACATAGAATTTGAAGATTTTAACAACCAAAATGTAGAACTATCACACCAGTTATCCAGAGATAATGTCCCAAATTAAGGCATGAAATATACTGTTCCATCTTTAAAATTTCTAGGAACTTTCTAGGAATTTTCTTTTTTACCATCATAATTCAGTAGAGGATTTCAATGATTACAAAGTATATCATCAAATTCTAACATTTTTAGAGAAATCATTTGGCAAAAAATAACACTTCGAATAAAAACAAAAATAAAACAAAAACTGTAATAAAACTTTGAACTATGAATCCTTACTTCGCATCGCTGTCAGCCGCTGCAGCATAATGTAGTGCTGTACAGCCACGGGCGTCTTGGCGGTTGATGTTCGCCCTGGCCGCAATGAGCGCCAGCACCACTTGGTAGTGACAGTTGGCCGCCGCGTAGTGCAGCGGTGTTCTCTCTTCTGCGTCCACACGGGCAAAGTCTGACCCTGCGGCCAGGAACAGGTCAACACACTCTATATTACTGGAGAGAAAGTAGGGGAATGATTGTTAAACATTTATAAGAAAAGAAAAATGGAATAAGACTTTTAATCACCAAATAGTCACCCAAACAAGTGGGTCATGTCTATGGGCAAAAGATAAGTATGTCACTGCCATATAAATAATTTTTGCAAGATTTTGATATAATTTGTGCCCATTGAACTCTTTTTTTACTTGTCTTCACTATAGGGCATTTTTTTCTCAGTTCTAAATATAAGATGATAACCTTTTCACATAGTAGCAAATCATTAGATAGAATAATAATAATATAATAATTTCAAAATCTTTTGTCAAATAATTAAAAGATAGGACAAAATAATGCTGAAACATGTTGGGCAATGTAATATATCAGGTAAACTGCATACCATACATATCACTGTACCCCCCGTTCACCTACCCCCCACAGGCTGCTGCGTGGAGAGACGTGCGGCCATAGTCATCAATGGTGTCTACTTGAAACCCCTCGGCACACGTCATCAGCTTCCTGCAGCAGTCTGTGAAACCATTCAGAGCCGCCAGGTGGATAGGTAACATGCCAAAACATCCACGCCTGGAAGTTATTTTGAAATGTAAACTAGAAG